TATTTATGATGTTTTTAAACACAAGAGAATGTGGACATGTATAAACCTGCAACTTTAAATGTATAATGCGCCCCCCCCCCACACATACCTCAATTATTCTATGAAAATTAATCTGCAATCTCAATCTGATAACAAAATTATTTTACGTACCTGCATCCTCCTCTTCACTTGATGATTCATCAGCCAAAACACCTTGAAATAGAATAAAAGTTGTCCTTTGGTATTAGTGGCATATAATACCCTTTGAAGGCTCTTATTAAACATAATGTAGGAATAGACAGTGGGCATTGGAAAGAATCATTCGAAGGAAGTAAAATGTGACCTTCTCGTACAAAAGATGATGCACCTTGGTACAGGTTGAATGGAAAAAGGGCCCAAAATGCTGTGGGCTAATTTTTAACTTGATGATTTTTAAATCCAGAACATATTAATATAACTATAATAAAGTATCTTCGACGATTTGTTCAGATATAAGGTCCCTTTGTGGACATTTGCTCTTCTAAAACTGGCACTTTCTCTGTTTTCAAATTTTCAACAGGACATGAACTTCAAAACAGCATTCTTCCCGAAATTATTCCAAGGTAAACACCATACATTTGTGTAGTGGTCTGCCAAATAGTCCAAAGCCCCAATCTACCGGGGGTTATTGGTCCAAAAATAAACTAGGGTTCTTTTATTTCATCATTTGATACAACAGTGTTTAAGGTTCTTTAGTCCTAAATTTCATTACAGTCAAAAGCTTTGGTAGTCCAAATTTAGTCCAATTAATTACCTGAAGGACTGATTGTCCAAATGGAAAACAAGGTTTCTACTGTCCAAAGACTAATTATTCTAAAATGAATTAGGGCCAATAAATAGAAATTTAAAATATCACTTTTTATTGCCTATTCAGATTGTTGAATCTTATCGTCACTCTGGACTACAAACTTTAGTGTCAATTTGGGCTTTTGAACACTTTTGTCATATTTCAAAATGAAACCACAATTTAAAAGGAAATTAACATATTTGCAATAATATGCAAATATCTCAGGTCCATCCATATTCCCAGAAAAGTCCCAGGTCACAGTACGAGAATCCTAATTAATGCACCTAATGGTTCTTTACCTTCCAAATCAATATCATCAAGTTTTCGGCCAGACAGTTTTGCTATCTTGCCTTTGTCTACAGCAAGAAGTAGCTTGCTGACTTTCGCAAGCTCTAGTGTCGACTCGTGTTGGCGGTAGAAGTCCCTGTGGACAGTTATGTCGTGGCAAAGGTGCCTTGCTAGCCAGTCGAGCGCATTGCTGTTTAGGTCTAATAATCTGAGACACCGTTGCAACATACTTTCTCAGCTTTGTGCTCGTTTCTGCAGGAGGCTCTTGCAGATTAGCCTGCTTGGCAACAGCAGTTAGGCAATCCCATCCTCTCACTTGTTTCAAGGAGTTTCGGGTGCGAGCAAATATATAGGGATTCGAATTATGCGCCCCAACTGCTTCACGGTTTTCCATCAAGACTTCCACTGGTCAGAAGCACAGGCACTGCGCGACCTCTCTTTCCCCTTATCTGTACCAGGTCGAGTCTGTATACAAATCAAATGGCACCAGAAACAAATCAAATGGCACCAGAAAAAGAATGACTTAGTTGAATGACTAAACAAATATGATACAATAAGCAATACATCCGTTAACTAGAGGATAGTTCCAAATTCTGGTAAACCCAAAGAAACTCTTATCCCCTTCAATACAATGGGATAACATACACATGAATATTGCCAAATTAAACTAAAAATGCCTGTAACATTTAGGTTTAATTCAGCTACTCCCCCAAAAAAGAAACATTCCCATGTTTCAAACTGTCCAATACAATTAATACGTACTGAGCTTTCCCAGGTCAAACCTTTGCAATCAGATTCCTACCGAAGGCCAGTATTAACTTGTCACCCCTTACCACCATGGATATCTGATGATGGACCATTGCCGACAGAACATGCAAAATGGGCATGGCAGGTTATCTGAAGATTGGACCTCTTGACCGAAGGGAGGATTTCTGGCAACGATGATCTGACCCACACCAGATGACAGCACCTCCATATTTATGGTAGAAATTCCCTTTCAAACGGAGCCTCTCAAATTCAACAGTAGGTCGCCTGTTAGTTGACTTGGGCTCCTTGGCCTTGGCATGTTTCACCTCAGACTCATCAGCGTGCATATCTTTCATGTGCCTGGCTGCCTTGGAAACCATACTGCCACAAAAAAGGCATGCTTGCCGCTTCTCGTATATTCTAGCCTGCCCTTCGGTGCCTTGTTGAGCTCATCTATACAAACAACCAACAACAAAAAGCATGAAGTCTTCGGAGTTGTTGTTGTTTATTGTAGTAACAGTGAGACATGTATGTCAATAACAAATGGTTAGTGACCAGTTACAGGACCATCACTGTGTGGACCCATGTAGTAAGACATATGCCAATAACAGACAGGTGTGTGACCAGTCACAGGACCATCACTGTGTGGACCCATGTAGTAAGAAATATGCCAATAACAGACAGGTGTGTGACCAGTCACAGGACCATCACTGTGTGGAACCATGTAGTAAGAAATATGCCAATAACAGACAGGTGTGTGACCAGTCACAGGACCATCACTGTGTGGACCCATGTAGTCAGACATACGCCAATAACAGACAGGTGTGTGACCAGTTACAGGACCATCACTGTGTGGACCCATGTAGTAAGACATATGCCAATAACAGACAGGTGTGTGACCAGTTACTGGACCATCACTGTGTGGACCCATGTAGTAAGACATATGCCAATAACAGACAGGTGTGTGACCAGTTACAGGACCATCACTGTGTGGACCCATGTAGTAAGACAAATGCCAATAACAGACAGGTGTGTGACCAGTTACAGGACCATCACTGTGTGGACCCATGTAGTAAGACATATGCCAATAACAGACAGGTGTGTGATCAGTTACAGGACCATCACTGTGTGGACCCATGTAGTAAGACATATGCCAATAACAGACAGGTGTGTGACCAGTGACAGGACCATCACTGTGTGGACCCATGTAGTAAGACATATGCCAATAACAGACAGGTGTGTGACCAGTCACAGGACCATCACTGTGTGGACCCATGTAGTAAGACATATGCCAATAACAGACAGGTGTGTGACCAGTTACAGGACCAGCACTGTGTGGACCCATGTAGTAAGACATATGCCAATAACAGACAGGTGTGTGACCAGTTACAGGACCAGCACTGTGTGGACCCATGTAGTAAGACATATGCCAATAACAGACAGGTGTGTGACCAGTTACAGGACCATCACTGTGTGGCCCATGTAGTAAGACAAATGCCAATAACAGACAGGTGTGTGACCAGTCACAGGACCATCACCGTGTGGAACCATGTAGTAAGACATATGCCAAAAACAGACAGGTGTGTGATCAGTCACAGGACCATCACTGTGTGGACCCATGTAGTAAGACATACGCCAATAACAGACAGGTGTGTTACCAGTTACAGGACCATCACTGTGTGGACCCATGTAGTAAGACATATGCCAATAACAGACAGGTGTGTGACCAGTCACAGGACCATCACTGTGTGGACCCATGTAGTAAGACATACGCCAATAACAGACAGGTGTGTGACCAGTCACAGGACCATCACTGTGTGGACCCATGTAGTAAGACATATGCCAATAACAGACAGGTGTGTGACCAGTCACAGGACCATCACTGTGTGGACCCATGTAGTAAGACAAACGCCAATAACAGACAGGTGTGTGATCAGTCACAGGACCATCACTGTGTGGACCCATGTAGTAAGACATACGCCAATAACAGACAGGTGTGTGACCAGTCACAGGACCATCACTGTGTGGACCCATGTAGTAAGACATACGCCAATAACAGACAGGTGTGTGATCAGTCACAGGACCATCACTGTGTGGACCCATCTAGTAAGACATATGCCAATAACAGACAGGTGTGTGACCAGTTACAGGACCATCACTGTGTGGACCCATGTAGTAAGACATATGCCAATAACAGACAGGTGTGTGACCAGTTACAGGACCATCACTGTGTGGCCCATGTAGTAAGACAAATGCCAATAACAGACAGGTGTGTGACCAGTCACAGGACCATCACCGTGTGGACCCATGTAGTAAGACAAATGCCAATAACAGACAGGTGTGTGACCAGTTACAGGACCATCATTGTGTGGAACCATGTAGTAAGACATATGCCAATAACAGACAGGTGTGTGATCAGTCACAGGACCATCACTGTGTGGACCCATGTAGTAAGACATATGCCAATAACAGTTTGGAGCGCTTAGCCATAGGGCCTTCACCGTGAAGTTGATCCTGCTTGTGTTACATATAATTCCATTTTTCTTAGATGATCAAGTTAAAAATAATACAAAGGGCTCAATTGCATACTGAAAGAAACCTAGGAATTAGAGTTCGACCGGGTAGTGACGGAAACCTATTATGAATGTCAAAGATAACGTTACATGACAAACAATTAGGGTGAGAGTTAACTGTTTGTTATTCTGTTTTATCTCATTTCTGAGCTAGGGACTTGGTACACTTTGAAGATCCAGTGATAAGTTTCCATTAATCTTAATGCAACATATCTGAAAAAGGACTTCCCTTAACCGAATTATCAGATTGCAGAAGCATGCATTTAGTGTTTTCCTTCATTGTGCAACCATAAGCTGTAACTAGCAAATGCATTTACAGCACAACTCTTTTCAATCAGACCTGACTGTATTATGCAGTTAACAACGTTACAAGCACTAACCTGTTCCTTCAGATTTGGCACTGGTAGACCAGGAGCTGTTGGAGAAATAAATTTGGTAAGTGTTGTCAAAGATGACACTATAAAACAAGAAATTAGATTGTGGGATCAGTTAGCTCTTTAAATTCTAATTTCTAAATATGGTTTCTAAACAGATACACAGTTACAATGTGGAGTGAAAGAAAGGGCACTACAAGTGAAAGGGTATCAAATGCATGCAAGATGAATGCAAGTGGGAAGCAGGCTATGAAAACAGATTCAGGACACGATTGCAACAAGAGGGTGAATTTCCCTCATTTGAGCTCGCTCAAAGCGGGACTTCCATAGCAACATGAGGAATGATTGAGAGGACTTTTTAAAAATCTAAACCCTAAATAGAAGTGATTATTCAGCTTTCTATTGATACCAAGACCAGTTAACGCAATTGTAATGATGGCATTCCTGATTTTGCTGCAGCAGGTCACAAATTATTAGACGAATAAGGACAAAACCGACACTAACAAGATGGACAAGTTAAGTGTCAAATGTTTCAGTGTAAGAGTGGATATATGATACATGTTGATGCTACATTTGGTGGAATGTAAGAGAGACAGCAATCTTAAAGAGAAGAGTGCAAACTATGGAGAGTGCAAACTCTGAAGAGCACAAACTGAGTCTACATGCAGTGCAGGATATGGCATCATGGTGAATATTAAATTCACTTACTGTACAGTTTCTTCACCTATCATTTCAGCTGGAATTGATTACGGTACAAAAATAACACAGAAATGAGAATCAGGATTTATAAAATGCTGCACTATTATTTTCCAAGATGCTTTCTAACTGCATGATTTTTTTCATCACTTACAGTAAGTAGCTGTCCTCAACATGCATAAAGCAAACAAAACTAGAACGGCGAAGCCGCCATGGCTCGCTGTCCAAGGCAGGAAGGGAGGCTGAAGGTAGGGTTGGGGATGGGCATGACGGAAGGGGATCAGGATTCTTGTTGATGTGCCTAGGTGTAGGGGTCAGTTTTTAAATGTCAACATAAAAAGTCAACAGATTACCTAATAAATACATGTGAATATAGGTTAGCCGTCACTGTATTATGGGGGAGTTTTCCATTGTTAGAGTAATTAGGACCCAGTTGTGGATTTTTGCATCCCCATCAGTGTCTTCTGCTCCCCATACTTGTATTACCATGGGAAAACTCTTGTGTAGTCGCCACAAATGCAGAACAAGAATGGGTATACATGTACATGTAGACACAGCACCATCACCACCTCCCCCAAACCTTACCCCATCCCAAAACCTTACCCCATCCCCACCCCCCCCTCCCCCACCCAACCCCCTACCCACACCCATTCCATCCTCCCCTAATCATCCCCACCCTATCACCTACACATCCAAACCCCACCCAAACTCCAATCCCTATCTCCTTCCCCCTCCCCTGACCCGTACCCTCCCCAACCCCAACCCCCTACACCCACCTACCCTATCTTCCCCTATCTGTCCTTACCCACTTCTACACATCCCCACCCTAACCCTTACTCGATTCCAATATCCCGCCCACCCCATTCCCCCACCCATACATCCCCACCTGACCCCATGCAACCCCTACTCTGATCCCTATATACTGCCCCCTCCCTTTATCCAACCCCTACAACCCATCCCTACACATCCCCAACCCAACCCCTACTCCGATCCTATATCCCGCCCCCTGCCCAACCCCCTCCTAACCCAACCCCTTCATCCATGCCCATCCTCTCCCTACCTGTCTCCCCCTACCTGTCTCTCCCTACCTGTTCCCACCCCACCCCTACAAATCCCCACCCCACCCAAACCCAGTATTCCAACCCCTCTCCTCTCCCCACCCCACCCCACCCCAACCTGCCCCGCCCCGCCCATCCTAGCTCCCCTACTCATCCTACTCACACAAACCCTAACTCCAACCCTATCCCCCGACCCACCCCACCCCACCCTCCCCTACCCCATCCCTACTCCAACCCCATAAACTAAAAGATCAAACCAGAAGCTCATGCACATCCCCAAAATGCATAGTGTACATGTACATGTTATACCGGTATACACACATGTACATGTTATACCAGTATACGTGTACATGTAACAATTAAAAACTTTAACATTTCCTTGAATTAAAGTTCCTCAATAAAATCATAAAATTTACTGCAATGATATGAACCTAACTGAAGTTATAGGCCTAGAGATGATACCTGACAACTGCATTTAATTTTTTTCCCCAAGTTAACTAGAACCAAAAACTTCAACATTTTTATCTGAACGCGGACGGCCGGACGTCCGGACGGGCGCCCGGACAGACGGACGGAAATTGGTATTACATAGGCTCGCATCTGCTTCGCAGCTCGCCAAAAATGCTACAACTCTCAGAGAGTTTTGGCTGTCATTGGCCCGTGGCCTGTCAACTATTGACCCATTATCTGTCAACTATAACGTACTGAACTTGGAGGTCTGCTTTTGCACAAGGACAATATAAAACACATTCCTTTAAAGAATCACATCCAACACTATGTACCAAGGTTCATTTTTGTTTTACATCTACGGGGTGAGTCAAAAAAAGCGGAACACAAACCCCAAAAATGATATTTCATATTCAAAAAAATATGTAGCACCCAATTAATAATGACTGGAAAGCCAATTTCATAAGCTACTTTTAGATGAAAAAATTACTGAAATTTGTCAATCCGTTTAAGGAATAACACCATTTAAACAAAATGACCCTAAATCCTATCTCGTCCAAAAAATGTGATTTCAAGAATCGTTGTCACAATTCTAAACGTTAAAGGGTCATTGCATTTAAATCGTGATATTCTTTGAACGGATTGAGCAATTTCAATTATTTTTTCCATCTAAAATTAGCTTCTGGATTTGGCTTCCCAGTCGTTATTATTTTTGGTGCTACATATTCGTTTTAAATACAAAATATATTTTCTGGGTTCGGGTTCCGCTTTTTTTGACTCACAAGACTGTATTCAAGGACTGTAAAGACTACTGAGGGAATATTCAAGGGATTTAAGGCAGCAATCAATATTTGTTGTCTTTTGTTCTTTGAAATATTCATGCATTCTAAAAATAGAACACAGCTGCCATAAATGCCTGTTTATTTAATTTTAATATGGCATTTGAGAAAATCATATCACAACAACAAAACACCACTTTTAGAAGAAAAACAAATAACCACTAAATATTGTTCCCTAAATAATGTCTAATACCCCCAGTACATTTAATGTTAATTCCTAAACAATACAAAGTTCTTTTGCAAGTTTTTTTCCTAACAAACAGAACCATATTTTCTTTGGAATAACATGAATGTGAAAACCATCATCATCATCACACAATTACCTGTTGCTATTGAGGTACCTGACATCACATCCTCATGATCCTGAAAAGAAAAGTACAAAGACATTAGACAAAGTTTGCCAGCTTATTTATGTAAGTCATTTCACAAGGAATAAAGAAGAATCACTTCCTAATGTGCAGATCTTAAGTGACAGGCATCTGACCGAAAGACACGGTCTACAGGCCCCAGCAATACTGATGCAAAACAAATGTAAGTTGAAAGGTATAATGACAGTTATGCCCTTCACTGAAGTTCTTAAACGATATAAAAAGCTGAACAAATGATAGGCTAATTTTTCACAGATATCAAAGATGCAGTAGCCCATGTAAATAGAAAAATCAAACCAGGCTTCATGAAAAACTACAAAAAGTGCTGTGAGACAGATGATTTCAGAGCCACAAACTTTTAAAAACTAATTTTCAACCTAAACTTTACTCAGTTTACTTTATTCACAATAAAACATACCTTTATCAACCCACAAAATGTGAGTTGAGGAAAGGGGTCCTCTAGATCTTTGGACTTGGTACTCACAGTTTTCTGTAGATAAAATACATACATGAGCAATCAAGAGATTGTGTGGTGCTCCACTACGAAAAATTAGTCACAGATTTTAACAGTGTTTTATTTTGTAGTGGACATGTGTTACAATACATGTATACAATAAACTGAAAGAATCAAAATGTTATGTTGTCTATTAACCCTAACCTTCCTCAATCCTCCAGGCGTTTTGGAGGATTTGTGAGGATTGAAGCTGAAATGATTTAAGAGGATACATTGCTTTGTCCGCTACCTGGTGCAGGGTGAATAGACTGCATTGCTGGCATACTAGCAGGGCTCAATAGAAGGGATTAGCGAATACAGATACAAGGTATTAAAATAAACGTGAAAAACTCCTCACAGGAATATTCCTATAAAAAAGCCCAAGGGATTAACTTCATGTCAAAGTGGTCTTTTAATGTGAATTTAAGGGATGGGAATGTTCATAGTGTAAACACCTACACATGTACATTTGGTAACATTATAATACCATTACCTTTACTGTTGCCAGGATTTGTTCAAACCTGTTTTTGGCAACAGGGTAACTTTGTCTTTATGAGGAGATGGGGTTTTGCTTCAAACGTTGATATGCTGTTGAAGCCAACTCCATGCCTAATTCAATTCATCTGATATTTGAACAGGCCAAAGAATTGCAAACAAACCTACGTTGTATTGGAAATACGTACAACAAATAAACCAATTAACTTCAAACCTTTCTCCATGGTAGATTGGGGATCCCGTAATCATATCGCAGCTCTGCGCCAATGGGCAGATCTTCTGTGGCAAATAAGCACAGATGGTCATCAACTAACTGGGCTTTGCAGTTAATTTCTCTCCCACACCCATCATTTACCATTCTCCCAAGCCCTCTTGATTTTGTAGCATCCACGCTGAATAAGAAAAATAACAATGATCCTGATTAGGTCAACATTTCTTTGCTCAATTTAAATAATAATAACATTGAAAGAAATGTCCAGATGAACAAAAGCAACAGGCTCTTCAGGTTTGATCTCCATTTTCTACACCCTTGAATGCAAGGTAGGTACATAGCTCATAAGTTGCAACTGTTCAAAATGTACATGTACAGTCTTATTATACAAATATTAAGTGGCTCAAGTGAAATGGGAGGAACATTATCATAAGATGAAATCGAGTGAAATGGAAAAGTCCAGAGTGTTCCGAGCTATAATATTCCTCCCATTTCACAATTTGAAGCCACTCAATATTTGTTTTGTATATAATCGACATACATATCCTTGTCATTTGATTAGTGGAACTCACATCACGTGACATTCGTTATTACTCCCATTCACGTGGGGTCTCAAAAAGTACTATCCGTCCATGGGGAAGTCACCAGGATCATTCTTGTTCCAAGACATGGTATTTGTGTGCAAAGGCATGTTGGTGCGCATGTTCAGCGTAGCGAGTATTGTTCCAAAGAGCCAGCGCTACAGAGTGGGGTTCAAACCTTTTCATGAAGGTGTGGTTTGGAAGAGAGAAATACATTTCCCATCAATTTTGTAGTGAAATAAAAATTCAAATATATTGAATAACAAGGATCTATATGTCATGTATATAAAACAAATATTGAGTGGCTTTAAATTGTGAAATGGGAGGGATTTTATTGCTCTGTAAAATCTGGACTTTTCCAGTTCACTCGGCTTTGCCTCGTGAAATGGAAAGTCCAGATTTAACCTTGCGATAATATTCCTCCTGTTTCACTCTGAGCCACGCAATATTTGTATAATATACCTGACATATAGGTCCTTGTCATTTGATATATTTGAACTTTTATTTCAACATAAAACTGGTGGAAAATGTATTTCTCTCTTCCAAACCACCCCTTCACGAAAATGTTTGAACCCAACTCTGTAGGGCTGGCTCTTTGGAACAATATGCGCTACGCATTTACACACAAATACCGCGTCATGGAACAAGAATGACTCCTAATTGTTGAATAGTATTTCCCATTCCCCATGGGCAAATGGGACTTTTGAGCCCGGCATGAATGGGAGCAATAACGAATGTCACGGGATGTGAGTTCCACTAATCAAATGACAAGGATCTTTATGTCGCTTATATAAACTTTAATAGCTTCAACTCGTTACATTTTATTTAAATCGAGATGACGAGCAAGATGCAGTTTCATAAGTTTGAGAAAAAAAACAGAGAGTTCCCAGTGAAAAAGTCATGAGGTTGAGTCAGATTTGTTATCGAGTTACAACAAATCTAAGTCAGCTCAGCTAATTCAGAATTGATAGGCCAGTGTGACTGCCCATTAGTCTTTTACATTTTCTTTTTACTTAAAGGGCCCATGGAGTGAATATTTCTAAGGAACTTATTTTGTGATACTTTGTAATCTTCTTAAGTTTATGAAATAATTGAAATCCCTTTTTGATTAATTTTACTGAAAATTGCATTTGTTTAAACATTTACAATTTGCCATGCTTTTTCCGAGGAGTGATGGTGCCATGATGTCATTGAAGTAAGATGTTCATTCTTCTGAAATTGTGAACCCGAGAAATCTTGCTCATTGAAAACATTTGTGAAAAAAAGTTTGCTCATTAGCTTACTGCCATGAAATGACACAACAAATCACTAAAAAGAAAGCCAAGTCCACTCTCCATCATCTGTTCTGGTGGTGAGAGGAGTGAGGCTAAACAAAAAATACTTTTGCTTCCGGTTTCCCTACCTACCCTATTCTGACAGCCCCTACCCTAATTTCTTTATGGGAAAAATGAGAAAAAAAAACCCAACTAAAACCATTAATTTCTACGTTTTACCCTTGACTTCACGCAGACGCCTCCATATGATCGTACACACAAACAATATTGGCCAAAAAAAATTCCCTACCTACATTGTACCTACCCTTTTTTCAAATGCCATGCAATCGGAAGCAGAAGTATTTTTTTCCTGTTTTTGGCCTAGTGAATAAGAGATTTTTACCATCGTGTATTTCTCCCATCCTTATAGAAAAACATGAAGTTTCCATCCTTCGTCGCGTAGCTTGCCTCTCTGTGGGTTGCCTCTTTAAGTCCAATGTTTTCACCACAATATTCAAGTAGAAAATCCCCTCTCTTGAATTGTCGATGAGTGAAAACACCTCGGCCTGAAACAAAAGATAAAATAACTTTTTTTTATGCTGTATTGCCTATGTTGTGCTGTTATAAAGATGGCAAGTTTGGGATCAGTTCTGCAAAAGCCTTCCGCACATTAGTTCAGTTCGAGTTCAGCTACCATTAGTGGAGTATTGCCAAATAAGTGGTTGAACTTTTGAACTTTATCTACAGATGTAACATGTTCTAGCTTCTTCTTTTTTGGAAATAAATTTATGAATGGATGCAAATTTGCATGTGACTGATGAAAAAGTTTATTGGAAACAACATATGTCAGTGATTTATTGACTAAAGCGGTAAGACTTTCTCGCCTGGACATTTCTAATTTTTACCTTTTCCCAAGCATCAAATGCAAATTTAGATGAGAAAAATATGTGACACTTTTACATGCATGCAGGTTAAACTTAGAATTTGTTTGGCACATCTCATAGATTTTGAACAAGGGGTGTGAAGTGATGTCCAGGTAAGGCAATCTTTCCAATAATGCTTCATTTTTAAAGTATACATACATACATACATACATACATGTACACGATTGAACATAAATAGCAAAGTGTTTCTTACCAATAGCCTCATTGATGAAATGACATTCCAGTCCTTCTTGGTCAGTTTTAAGTTCAATATGTTTCTGCGCCACTTCCAGTGGTGGAAGGCATTTCTTTGAGCTACGTAAATTCCGATAAGTCATACCTGCTAAACTTCAGAAATAAAAAAAGTTCAAGTTTTTATATAGCCTACTTTGTATTTGGATTCATTAAAATGTATCTTGTCGTAAGTCGTACTTATGTCGAGGACATAACGCATTCAAAACATAGCGGGGGGGGGGGGGGGGGGGCATTTTCGACATACTATATCCAGTACCCATCCAGTTTTGTACCATTTTCTCTAGTCTTTCAAAAATGAAACTCACCTCACCAATTGAGTAGATATATTCATAAACATACGATCCTCTGTCAATGGGGCAGATTTGCATAACATTTGAATAGAGGAGGATATTCAAACAGTCATGCATGATGTCAGTTTAGCTATGTTGTGAATTTTGTGACGGCCATTAATGAAAGATATTGAAAGAAAAAAATCAACCTTCATAGGATTTTTTTTTTTCTCTCCAACTTTTAAGTAAACGTGTCCCCTTCTGTGTTGCTAGTTTCAATTCTTAGGATCATGATGGCGATGCCCGTTTGACATACATTGTTAGCATGGCTAGTAGGTGATCACCATCTTTATTTTCGTGTTGCGTTTTGTCGTTGTCATCGTCACTTCACCGCCAAACTTCCTCAAAAATTCAAACCCTGCCCTTATCTATGACACAGGGCTACCTGTATGTTCTTAATGTCGCCAACTAGTTTGGTAGGTCAAATAATTTAACAGTGGATTTTATTCCCTTTTAGGAACCAGGCCCGTAGATACACGATCGCCGTAACGATAGCCACTGAATAAATATATGCCAGCAGTTAGCCCAGGTTGGATCACATCTTCATAGCATTACAACTGACGTCCAGGGTATTAATTCTACTACCAAAGCAAAACAAATTGTAAAACATTTTTTTCATATTTTCAAGTGATGGAGGAAGCGGAAATTCCGTTAACATACTCCTTGTGTCCACAACTGTGCATGCTCTGGGTTTAGAAAAGGCAAATGTGTCCGTGGGCAGCATGTTTACCACAAATAAACCGCAAGTTCTGCGCTTACATTGTAAACATTTTCAGTACAAACTCAAGGAATTCTCACCAAAAATCCTACAAAAACCATAAAAAAATTGCTAACCAAAAGGCCTACCGGTAGCATCAATCAGTTTCACCAGATCAGAATGGCAGTCACATGCATGAAAAAACAATGCCTCTAATCCCAGATACAAAGTCATAGTGAAAACCAAAACATAAAGAAAAATAAGTGAGAGAATTAGTCTTCGCACATAAGTTTGTAGCACTTGAATTCTAACACTATTTGCTGAATAAGCAGGTCCTGCCATGCTTCGAGTTTGAAAGATAACATGAGCTAGAGACTTACCCCTGGAGTTGTGTTGACAACAAAATGGCTGCCTCCTCAAACCTATGCACTGAGCATGCCCAGCAATGAAGGTCACAGGACCACACTCTCTCATAAGATGATAGAGGGCGACATTTCTTATAACTATCAGAGTCCACATTGTACCAAACACTTCATGCGAACTAAGCTTCAAAGTGTGGACCTCATTTTGGACAGTTAATTCATCTCTACATAGAGTCTCATTGGAAAATATGCAGTAAATCTGTGTGGACGTGTGCAAGTCCACACAAGAACGGCTTGTCTACAGTACGTTGGTGTGCAAGCTTTTGCAAGTCCACACAAGGTCTGCAATGCCAACACGCCCAGTCACACACACACACGCACAACCCATACATAGTACTGCAATAGGCATATTGTAACGGCGACCCAAAGAGGCCAACCGTCAGTTGGGGGGATTAACTAATTAATCAAATATACATGGGTGTTGATCACAAAATAACCGACAAAGGGACAAGTATATGCAATATCAGAAAATAGAAATAATGAAAATTTAATTAGCGCGTCTTCGCTTACAAAATAATTAACCAGGGGAGAGCATGTACGTTGTAAATATAAATGATAGAATTTAAATAGTTACTGACAGAGCAGAGTTCAGACTGGCACCACTACGATACAACACCGTAGTCCACAAGCAGGCCATGTAAAAACTACTGGGGGCAAGGGGGGTAATATTGGAACATACTCACAAGACTATGCAGACCACTGAACCCTTTGGTGTAATGGTGGTGGTGGTGATGCAAATTAAAGAACACAGCGTCTTGCCCAAAAACGAAGGCCAAATTAAACTAGGCTTCCACCGTCAGCCATACATGTACAGGAACTTAGAAAATATGGAACTAAAATGCACACCACCATCCACCACCATGCCCCAGTCGCAAGTCCACGCCCTACTGGGCTTTCAAAGGGGTTTTATAGTGCTGGGTAAAAATATGCATAAGAATTTCAAGATTAGGCATACTAATGCAGTGTGTCTTTGGTACTGGGGGATATTTGCATAAACACTAAGTACAGAGGTATGGGGGCAAGGAACTTATATCCCAGTATTGTGAGGGTAAACAATAAAGACTGCCATGAGAGCTCCATCTGTGGTTTGACTGCAACCCAAATACTATTCTATTGTGGTGTAAAGTAGGTTAAGACTTAAGTTGAACAAAGTAAGCTCTGAAATAGTTTTGTGGCATTAATCTGACTTGAGAACAGATGTAATACATGACTGCTATGGATTACTGTGGCCAAAGCGCTCTCTATTTAGTTTAAAGGTGCAATTGGGACCATGATAAAATCAAATTTTGTTACAATGCCCTCCCCTGTGAAAAAGGCGCGTCTCTGCGCCTATATAAAAAAAATACAAATTTCATATTTGAAGTTATTAATCAAAATTTGAATTAATAAAAATAATTATTTACAACATTCCGGTATTAGTATAGCATCTCAGGTTTCTCAAAAATCGGAGTTTGAAAAGATGGTAATTTAACATGTTTCAGCACATGGTATAGGCAAGTTTGTGACCAGTCTCATAAAATACAGGATTTATTTGTAAATTTTAAACAATTTCCTTTATTATTAGAATTATGAGCCTGCTTTCCTCTGAGATTTAAAAGCATGTGAATTTATGTAATTTGATATTTGCACTTTTCTTTTTCACTTATTAGTGTCCAAATTATTTGGTCTGCAGCCCAAACAAGGCACAAGTGTTCTGGTGCAATCACACGCAGGCTTAAATCTTATTTGAGTTCATGTCACAAAATCTCCTGTGCGAAGCCACATCGGCAGCTGTCGATGTCGTCGTCGGGGACGTGTCCGGCCGGATTCCACGTCTCCATGACTTGACGATGCCTCATGTTGTTCCTCCTCATCCGACTTTGATTCTGGGTAGTCCCTGTTGGATGCGGCAATGGCGTCCTCCATCTCCCTGATGTCTCCATCTTGTCCGAAGCCTCTTTGGTCATCCTTCTCTCCATCACCAGCCGCTATGATTGCTTCCCTGGTATGGAGGTCCGAATCGCTGATCCAAGGCGTTCCTGACTGTCCCAGTTCCCCGTCACTCCCACTGCCATGCTCATCACTAGTAGACTTGTCTATGGTGCTCAGTTCCTCCAGCTGTCCAGTAACATCTCCGGTAGTCTCTTCCGGCTGTTCACCAATGAAATCTTCAGAAACTCTCTGTGTAACAGAACTTGAAACGCATGGTTTTAATCTATCAAAATGGACAACTTTTCTTTGTCCTGTCTGCTCATGTTGTATACGATAAACTGCATCTGATATGCGTTTAACAACACGGTATGGACCTTTCCAATGAGATTGGAGTTTAGGACTTAGACCAATCTTTCGGACATAGCTATACAACCATACTTTGTCACCTGGAGAGTATGGTTTGCCTTTTAACTTGGCATCGTACAACCGTTTCTGTCTTTTCTGCTCTCCTTGAATCTTTTCTCTAGCTACTTCGAAAGATTTCTGCATTCTATGGTAAAGTTCAGATGCATATTCATCAGAACTTTTGTTCCCTTGACTTTGGGGATGACTAACAAGCAAGTCTAATGGCAATGACACTTCTCTTCCAAACATCATTCTGTTTGGACTTACTCCTGTAGTTTCTTGCTCACTCGCTCTATACGCCATCATGGCGTATGGTAAATGTACATCCCAGTCCGACTGGTCTTCTCTGATGTACATACTGAGAATAGTCTGTATCGTACGATTAAATCGTTCGACAAGACCGTCTGATTGGGGATGATATGGGGTCGTGCGCGTTTTATTTATCCCTAACAACTGACAGATGGATTGAAAAAGTTGACTCTCAAAATTGGAACCTTGGTCGGAATGTATGCTTAAAGGTACCCCGAAGCGACAAATAAATTGTTCGACCAACACTGTAGCAACTGTTCGTGCTTCTTGGTTACGTAATGGGTATGCTTCCGCCCATTTCGTAAAATAATCCATGACTACCAAAATGTATCTGTTGCCACGTTTTGAACGTGGCAACGGACCAAAAATGTCTATGCCTAATCTCTCTAGTGGGGCACCAACTGACGAAGTTTGAAGAGGGGCTCGTGGTTTTGGAGCCGGTGACTTTCTTCTTGCACAAGCATCGCACTGTTTAACCAACTGCTCTATCTCACTCCGATACCCAATCCAGTAGAACAATCGTTGAATCTTTTTAAATGTTCTCAACCGACCTAGATGACCACCAGTTTTCGAACTATGAGCTTGTGCAAAAACTGTTCTGACCTTGACAGCAGGAACCACAAGTTGTAAAAGAGAGGGATTCCCCTCAAATCTTCTGTACAACATACCGTTGCTAAGTTCCAGCTGGTCCCATTGATACCAATATCCTTTTGTCTTCCTACCAAAACTAGACACTTCTCTGCCTGCTGGTCTAACTTGACTTTTCTCCTTCCACTTGATGATGGGGGCCAGACATGGGTCACAGCGTTGAGCCTTCCGAAAATCATCCTCATCCCAACCTGCAAAAGTCTGACTCAGAGATCCACATATCACTTGAAATTCACTGTCATCTTCTTTTTGATCGATTTGTGGCTGTTCATCTAACCTTGATAATGCATCTGCATTTCTATGTTGAGTACCAGGTCTGTGACATATATCAAAATCAAATGAGCTCAATGTCTCTAACCATCGTGCAAGCTGGCCCTGAATGTTCTTGAAATTAAACAGCCATGGCAAAGACCCATGATCGGTTCTCAGAGTGAACCTCCTGCCATACAAATAATGCCTGAAATACTTGACAAAATGAACAGCGGCCAAAAGTTCTCGTC